GTATGAAAAGGCAGAGAAGAACTAAAAGAAGAAAAGATATTTAGTTTAATTAGAAGATCTGTAGATAAATTTGGTAGAAAAGTCTGGAAGAAAAAAAGAAAAAGGAAAAAATCTTATAAGATAAACACGAAGATTAAAGTCATCACAAGTTATAGTCTAACTAGTAAGTTTAAAGTAAAAGATGGACTTGATCAAAGAGAAATAATATTACTTCTAGCCTAGTATATATTCTATGATCCTCTTCTGTATACAGTAAATGAAGCAAAAGATACAGAATATCAAATGATATTGAACTAGCCAACTGATATAACTCATAACAAGACCAAAATACTATCTTATCAACAAACTGTATTAGCTTTTACAAATAACACAATTTAGATAGCTAGATCAAAAGAAAAGCTCCAAAGAATAGTTAATATATCAAATGAGTTCTATGAGATAAATAATATTGAGATCAACTCTAAGAAGTCAGAGCTAGTTATTGTAAATACTAATACAGAAGACAAAGATTAATATAATAGAGCAATTACTATTAGCAATTACAAAGACAAAGTTATAGCAAAAAAAGATCATAAAATAGTTAGATATCTAGAGATATAGATATTAAGTAAAAGAAAACAAAACTACAGCTTAAATATAATCAAAAATGAAGTAAGCAGAATATACAAAGCTATTAAGTAGAAAAGAATATCAGTGAATCAGCTTATTTACTTAAACAATAATATTTTGCTTCTAAGTATAGAATATAAACTACAAATAACCTTTCTAAACAAGTTAAAATATAATAGACTATAAAGACCAATCTAGACTTTAATTAAAAACAAATTAGAATTAGTAAAATTAATAGCAAATTTAATTTGTAGTCATAGGTTTTCTAGATATGAGATCAATTTGATAAAACTAACTTACATATTATTTTACTGAACTAACAATATATATAAATCATCAGAGTATGCTAAGAAAAACTACAAAATTAAAAATCAAAGAAGGCTAACTACAAAGCAAATATATAAGCAGTCCTATTAGTAAAAAATACATATTCAACAAACCTTTTCCTGAATATAATTTGGCTATAAAAGTCCTTCATGAAGTAGCTAAAATAGGTATAAGATTTAGCAAAGTAGAAGACTCAAATATACTCAATATTAAAGAAACAGAAATCTCAAGTTTATTAAATACAAAAGAAGTATAATACTTCTTAAAGTCTAATAAATTGAACTTATTTGTTTTAAAACAACTTATAAGTAGCTCAAAAAATTAGCTTTTAACCTAGCAACAATTAAATATATAAGGAGTATAAAGACAAAAGGAAATACTCTAGATTGGTTTGAAAAAGTTAAAAAAAAAAGTGCTTAAAAAAAGTTACTTTAAAGAAGTTTAAGATATCTATTAAGCAAGTAATCTTAATAAAAATTTGATAAAGATTTAGTTACAAAAGATATCTAATGATAGAAAGAAAAAAGATTAGACTTTATTCAAAAGGAAAAACTGTTCCTATATAGACAAAATAGTAAGAAAAACAAAAAAAAAATTGTAGTTGAGCACTGGAATAAGAGAAAACAAATAGAAGAGATAACAAGTTCATTCTTTAAATACTACTAGTATAAGTTAAAAAGCTTTAATAACAATATCTGTTTAATTAATATCAAGTATGAGGAACAGTATCAAGTAGTCAGTATTAAGAATAGAGATGAAAATAAAATAGAGCTAAAAGTACTACTATCTGTCTATGTAGAGAAAGATATAAATTATAAATATAATTTTAATTAGAAGATAATAGTTAAAATAAAAGCAAATAGTATTGAAAAAGTAATTAAACAGAGAATAGCAGAAAACAAGAGAATTAGAAAAAGCTAATAACTATATATGAAGAATTAAAAAAAGAGAAAATTATTGAATATTATATAGATAAAGTACTAGAAAGTAGTAGTAATTAGATTAGCTTAGATAGAATAGGTATAGGATAGATAGTTAAAATGAAGAGTAAATTAAGTAGTAATATTAGTTTTAGTTGTAGCTTAGAAAACTAGCTATTATCAATTCGTACAGAGCTAGAAGCAATTTGAATAGCTCTTCTGATAGTATTGTATAAAGCTTAGGTTTATATATATATAGATAGCAAAGTAGCAATTGAAACTATCAAGAAGTTTACAAAAAAAAGCAAGCTATAAAATTAGTTTAAAATGAAAAATAGAAGCTTATTAAGACAAATTAAAAATTGTTACAAAGCCAAAAATCTAGATATTACTATACAAAATTAAGAACTACAGTAGTAATAAGTAGAATGAGTAAGAAAACAAGTTAGTAAAAAAAGAAATTAAAAACTCTGATTTGCTTATAGTCTCTGAAACCATTTTAAACAATCTAATAGTTATATCTAAGTGAAAAGATCATATAATAGAATATCTACTTAGATCTTTTATAAATATAATTACAGTAATAGTCTATGAAACTAAATAGGCAAACTTAAGCAAAATAGTTGCAATCATAATACTAAACTTAGAAACTAACTGTATTACTGAATTAAACTAGAGAAATATATGAGAAGCACTCAAGAATCTGCAAGAGAAAAAGTGTAAAAGTCTCAAAAAAAGCAAAGCATTTATATTCTATATCAAGTATATAAATAGCATTTTACTTACTAAAGATATTTGCTATCTTAGAAATCTCAAATTATACAAAAGCTGTAGATATATAGCTTGTTTTAGAGAGAATAAAACTATATATCATTTAGAGAGTATGAAATATACCAAAAAATCTAGAATAATTTGAAGAAAAAAATTTTGTAGCTTACTAGATTAGAAGCTTTAACAAAACTAGATTTAACACTTAAAGAAGTATTACTGAGAGAAGCTTTATACAGAAAAGAATCTGAAAAGAGGCTAAAACTTAGAAAAATATATCTCAGAGAGTTCACAAATAGAAAGTAGCTTGCAGATATGAGCAGAATAACTCAATTGAATATCAAAGCAAGTAAAGTTTTTACAAGCTTTATCAAACATTTTTAGGCCTACTTCTATGAACAATTATAAAAGTTTTGATATGAAGTCATAGTAGAATAGGAGAAAGAAAATAACATATCAATAAAAAAAAAGAAAAAAATAGAAAAAGAAAGAAAACAAAGAAAATATAGCTTTTTCAGTTACAGAAAAAGAATTAAAAAATGAAAAAGAAGTAAGAATACAAAAAGAGGTTCTTAGCAAAGTTAATAGATGAGTCAGAACAGATAGTAAGAAAGAGTAATTATAGATCAAAACAAAATAGGTAATTCTTGATATAGACTAGTAGTAGCCTCTCATTAACTAGAAACTTAATATTTGTTTATACAGATATAAGCTTCTACAAGAGAAATAGTTGCTATAGCAGATTATACTTAGATATCTAAAGGTAGCTAAGTGAATTCAGAATAGTTTTAGAAAAATATTTGTTATAGATAATATAGCATTTTATTTTGTAGCTTATATTAGCTTTTTTTAATAAAATGATAGAAAAATCATCTAAGAGAAAAAAATATAATATAGACCCTATATTATTAATATTTTATTAAATTATTTAAAAAATAGTATTTATTCTTTAATTTTTTAAGCAAATTTGTCTAGAATATAGTTTAAGAGATAAGAGCATAATTAGCTATATATATAATTTTAGGTTGTCTAATTTAAGTAGTCTATTTAAAAGTTTTATATTAGTTGCTATATTTAAAATCTTTTAGAAAATTTCTTATATAAACTCTCTAGTTCTATCTCATTTACTATAATTATTAAACTTAAATTAACTATAACTCTATGCTACTTTATTTTAAGAGATATTTAAGCTAATATATATTATAAACTTTACTATTATAGGTCTAGATCTTATCTAGATAAGTTTTACTTTAATATCTCTTAATTAATAAATACTATAATACTTAACTATACTATACTATATCTTAATTTAGCTTATATATACTCTTATTTGATATTCATTAAATTTAGTTTCTGCTATAGTCTTTTATTAGATTAGACTTCTATATTTTCTGAATATTTTATAAAGCAAATTCTCCAAATCTAGTTAGCTACTAAGTCAGATTAGTATTGCTATATTATTTAGTATAACAGATTTACTCATATCTATTTAATCTATATTCTTTATATACAGACTTCTTTATTAGATTAAGTATTAACTAGTATAACTATTAAAATCTATACTTCTTTATCTAACTTAGAATTTCTATTATACAGATCTTTTGCTTATAGATTTTATCAAGATTTATTTATATAATATTATGTCTCTTCAAATATTATATTATACTTTCAATATTTGATTAACATTAGTATAATATAATTTACTCAGAAATAGATAGAGTTTATTATAAGTTGAATACAAGGTTTGAAAAATTATTCAAATTATTAATAGTAAGATTTAAATTTCAAATTTATTATATAGTAGTCTGACAATCTATCTATTATACTAGATTATTAGCTAAACTTTATAGATTTTAAATTTTATATTTTATATAATCAAATATTCTTATTAAACAATTGTTAATAAATTTCTAATATTTAAAAAGAGTTTATAAAAAATTTTAGATATTAAGCAATTATAGAATAATAAATTAAATATATATACTAGCAGATTACTAATCAAGATTTTAATTCTAGCTTAGAATATAGTAATCTTAATTTACAAGTATAGGTAATACTTTTTAAATTATAATATCTGCTATCTTTTTATTTTTTTTTTTGTTATTAAGACTATTTCTTTAGCTGATTAGATTTTATTAATTTGTTATTACAGAGCTATTATATAAATAGACTTCTAAGGTTTTATAGTTACATAATGAGTATACAACAAGCTATATATATAACTTTAGTTATTATCTAATTTAAGTAGTTTACCATATAAATAATTAACTATCTGTTAGTTCTATACTATATTTCTATACCTGCAACCTCTTGTGAGTTATCTATTTAAATACTTTGATCATTAACCTTTTTTCTATTCCAAATTAATATCACTGCTATATCTGATCACTTAAGCTAGCTGACTTATATACAGATCTATTTATCATATAGCTTAGATCCTCTTAAGATACATATTACTTAACATATTGTTATAAAATAGGTTTTAGCATAT